GGCTTGGGATTTGCAGATTCTACAACCATGTGAGCTAATCCTAAACTAAATCTACCTCTACACTTATTTTGTTTCTCTGGAGAACCCAGGACGATGTAGTGAGTTAAGCATTGGGTTGCTACCTGAGAGGTCAACAGTTTGAAACCACCAGCTGTCTGTGGGGGCAAGATGAGGCTTTCTACTCCCCTGTAGAGTTATAGTCTCAGAAACCCACGGGGCAGTTCCATCCTGTTGACTCAGTGGTAATGAGTTTGGTTTTTGGAGAGAACCTAGCCTAAAACCATCTCTGTAGCTCTGCTTCAGTTATCTAATACTTGGTCCTCATAGGCACATGTTCACTTCTCCAGAACCTCCTTTTAGAAACAATATTCTATGGAGATGCCCTTGCTCTGGCTATAATAATCTCTCAGCACAGTTTTCCAAGTAAGATTTATTTTATATACTTACATTTATATTTCGTTCCTAAAGTCGGGTGGTTAGACTTCTAAGGAGCACAATACTGGAAAAGAAATAATTTCTGGTTCAGAACTGTGAAGAGAAATCACTAGGCAGCAGAGCCACCCAGAGACTGAGTGAGCTTTTCTGGAAAAGAAAACATGTTAAGCACTGAAGACAAGATTATTTTTTTAACCATGTTTAGCTTGGTTATGTACTGTTTGTCATTTAACTATGTTTTCACGATGAAGATGTCTGCATTTCCTTAGTTTTCTCTCTAAATATGGTTTCTTATATATTAGCTGTGCCATCACTTTCTGAGTTTCCTTTAGTCCTTGTCTATGGTTCCCTGTAGCTCTCTGAGCACATTTAAGCTGATTTAACATTGTTGGCTAGTAAGTCCAATGCCTGTGCTGCCTGGGAAACAGTTGTGTTAACTTCCTTTTTCCTGGGAATGAGCCATACTTTCTTTCTTTCTGGAAAGTCTCATGAGTTTGGGTGGGGAATTGGATATTTTAAATATTACCATTTGCTGACTCTGGAAATCAGATTCTTACCCTCGGCATGGCTTCTTGTTTCTTGCTGTGGATTATGGGTATTTGTCTGTTGGGTGACTTGTTAACTGTTTTTTTAAAGACTATGTTCTCTACTCTGTTTGGTCTCTGAGGTCCTGGTGCCGTCACAGGTGGTCCGCTAATGGTTTAGCAGAAACACATTTAAATGCCTGGAGCCAAAGAGAAAAAAACTCTTCAAGTCTTTGCAGATTGGCCCTTTGTTGGGGCAACCCTTTAACACGTTTCCAAACCATTTACAACACTGCCCTCGTCTCCAGTTCCTGCTTATGCTGAGCCTAAAACTCAGAGATGAAAACGTACAATCTTCTCAAATCTTTTTGGAGAAGATTTCTTCTCTGGATATACA